AGCCCACAGAGGTCCAAAGGGCAGCAGAGATTCACCTTCAGATCGAGGACCCCCTGATGGACCAAGTTGATGCCTGAGAGGCTGTGACCCCATGGGAAGCTCAGTCTGAAACAGGATTCTGACAGGAAATGTGGGTCCATGGAGACAGAAGCCCTCACTAGAGCAGGTTTGCTGACAGGACTTGTGACCCCACGGGGAACCCATGTTGGAGCAGTCTGTTCTCAAAGGACTGCACACCATGGAAGGGACCCATGCTGGAGCAGTTTGTGAAGAACTGCAGCCCATTGGAAGGGGAAGTTTATGGAGTATTGTCTCCCATAGGAGGGACCCCACCCTGGAGCAGGGGAAGAATCCGAGTTCTGCTGCTGAGGAGTGAGGAATAGCAGAGAAAACATTTAACGAACCAACCAAACCCACCATTCCCTATCCCTCTACACTACTGGGGGAAAGAAAGGGGAAAAAATGGGGAGTGAAGTTGAGCCTGGGAAGAAAGGAGGGTCGGGGAGAAGGTGATTTTTAGATTTGGGTTTATTTTCTCATTATCCTAATCTGACTTTATTGGGAATAAATTAAATTAATTTCCCCTCGTTGAGTCTGTCTTTCTCACAACTGTAATTGCTGAGAGATCTTTCCCTGCCCTTATCTCAACCCACAAGCCTAAAGTTATATTTTTTCTCCCCTGTCCAGCCAGGGTTAACCACTACAAAGATACAGCTTGTTTATGAAGTACAATTGAATGAAGAGAAACAAAATAGTCTAAAAAGATAAACATAAAATCAGGGCAAAGTATTCTAAAGGGAAACTGAAGTTAATAATTCTTTTAAAAATGATATAACAATTTCATCTATACTTTAAAGTCCAAAGTTATTATTTAGGTTATGATACTAATAAGGTTTTCTGCTTACAGATTAATTGTGAAGCCAACAGCAGATAAAAATTTATCTGTTGTAACCAACAGGTCAATGTTTATAATTCTGCTGTTCAATTTCTGCCTAGTAGTCTAGTTTTACTCAGCACGTGCATTATCACCACTGCTTTTTTCTTAATTAAGAAGCTAATATTGCTTGAGGAATCTTCCCTCCTCCTCTTTCCACTTTACTGATTAATTGGGAGTCCCTTACTAGACTTACATATGGACTGTTTTGCAAAAGGTCCTTCAGAATAAGAAACTCAGTTGTTGGGGGGGATGACACAGGTTTTAGAGGTTTTTCAATTATTTTTAAACAGTAAAAGGAACAACTCAATTAATTCTAAATACAGCATATTGGCAAATTATTCCTACAACATCAGACCATTTCAATGTATTATTAAGGACATTATGTACATTTCTATGCAGTTTCTCCAAAAGAAATTATGAAATGCCTTTAAAAAAAACCAGCAGAGAATATTTTAAAGTTTTTCCAACAGTGAAATTAATTTTTAACACAAACAAATGCAACATTTCATTCTATAAACACATAGACAATAATTCAACAGAGAACTGAAATGGCTACTCTGGATCTTGGGCAGAAATTCACTTAAATTCATCTAGTCTGTGGGGATTTACCCCCACTCTTTCCTTGTACATTCTCCAGGCACATATACAGACAATGACTTTAAGTTCTCGAAATATTTGGAGCTGTGCCCCTGCATGAGCTCAAAGTTGTCCTATTATAAGCATCATTGTGCCTACTTTACACTAAATTAACTTGCTGATTCTAGGTGACTACCAATTCAGCAGGGAGGGACAACAAAATGGTGCTAGGCAAGAGTCTTAATTTCCTACAGTCAATATAATGAAGCATGCTAATTACCTCTGATATGTCCTGTGAACAGCTAGTAAGTTCTTTCCATTATTGCACAGAGAATCTCCACTTCAGCACCTGCTTGTTGGACTTGGGGTGGGAGTGGTTTGGAACTAAAACATTTAGGTATTTAGATGGACAGCCTGTATCATGGGGGTACTGAAAGCAAGTACCCACTTCCTTAAGGAAGTTGCAGGATCTGGTTCCAAAATGAGCGAATGTATGAGCAAATACAGTTGATACAGCTAACACCCAGGAAAGGATTAGGCTTTCAGATACAACTCATAACCTCATTACTTCCTACTGAGTGGCCATAGCCAGCTTCTTGGCAAATGTACTTGCTAGATTCTATAAATTCTTTCTGGAACATTTTTACCTCCATTTGCATCAGTGCTAATCAAAACGCACAGATCAATTTATACCACCATTCTATTCTTTTTACTGAGTCCAATATCACAAGAAAAAGGATCAGGAAAAAATAAAATCTATGCCTGACAAATTAAAACAATGTCACATACGTATCTGACACAATAGAGAATGTATACTGATAACTCTACTGCTAAAACTGATCTTTTACTAAAATGCATGCCACAGATTTCTTCATTCTGCTACAAAAATATAATATATTCAGTTATTTATCAACTGAAGAGGATGTTACGCTGTTATTAAAAATAACCAAATGTTTTAAGTAGCCTGGAAATACACATCATGCACATAACTCCATGTTTTTACACTGTGCAGGGATAAGAAAGAGTCTGCACTTCCTCCTCTGCTACTAGAGGGTCACACAAATGAACAACTACTGTGAAGAGTTTGGGTTTGGTTTTAAATTAGTCTTCCAAAGTTTCAGTATGTGTGGCATTCCTTCAAATGTCAAATATCTTCTAACTGCACTCTAAAAGGACTAAAATACAGCTGTTTGCATAAAATGCACAAGATCCAAACTAAAAATAAAACAAAAAAAACCCAAACCACCTTTTAAAAACAGAAGTAGTATGCCATTGGGCATATTAATATTGACCAAGTATTTTTGTGCTAGTTTACAGTTCACCAAAATGATTTATTAAGGTTGCTTTAATAGACTCTCTCGCATTGCAAAGTTTTTCAATTCTGATCATAGGTGGAAACAAAATAGACTTTATACAGTACATACCTGGTTTATTTATCGTTCAGTCAATACTAGGCATTAGGTTTAAACACTTGCATATGGCAGTTACAGTAGTTATAAGACTAAGTGAAACCATAACAATTGTTTTGTAACCCATTCCTAAAAGAATTCAAAATGAGTATGGGAGAAATACCAGGCACATTGTCACCTGGATTTTATTTACTCACATATAACGTGAGATTTCGGATGTTAAGAGTTTTTATTTCGTTGTAACTAGATGTAATGTAGAAGCAAGAAGAGTTTCTCAAAATAATTGTTATTGTTCTGGAAGCAGTACTGGATTACTATTTACTATTTAAAAATCTTAAAAAAACGATTTCATAAACAATGATAAACATAGAAGCTGATGTATTAAAACATTATACATTTGTACTAAAATTGAAAGTTGCAAGATGAAAAGGAAAATATGTAGATAGAGTATCAGGCATTATGAAGAGCTGTACATGGCCACACACATTGCGAATCTGCAGTTGTACAAAAGTTTTATGCCTGCTCAGAGCAGTTTAGATATGTCATTGAATTTATAGACATATGCTCTTGATTTCTTAGCAGTCTAATCAGAAGGTTCTACTAAGTACCACTAGAACCACCTTAGATATCCCACAAAACTTAAAAATTAACAACCAGTTCAAGAAGCAGTAGAGTATACTGGGGGGAATACCACAAATCTGCCCTGATCTTATATTCTTTCACATACATGGGCTCGTATCTCATATTACACAACTAGACAGACACTGTCGATGGTGATCCAGGCCACCTGTACTCATTGGAACTGTTTTTTGTATTAAATAAGAGAAGTATTTGAAAGTGAACAATGTGTGATAGACACTGATTACCTGTGGGTGCTATAGCTTCAGATAAGCTCATTTCACGCACACAGTTATTGGCTTGAGAGCTTGTTCCCCAACTCCTAATGCATACCAGAACGTAAAAAGTTTGCTGCCAACACAGCTCCAAAGCACTCCTCCAGTGCTTTATTAATTGAACAAAACTATACAAATATGTAATGTGAGAAAAACACAAAGCAGCAAAAGGAGATTAGATGACACATTTCCTTCTTATCAGGAAGTTACTTTGGCAAGGTAGACGCTTGTCCAGGAAGTAACCAGTGATCAGTGCTCAATTTCCTAGTGGTTTGCATTGAATAGCAGGATGTTTGATACCCTGCACTAAGCTAAAAGATAAAACAAACATGAATTACTAGCTAAGAGGCACACAGCCACTGAATAGGTGGTTTGTATCACTGACATTAAGAGATTAGCTACATTTCAGCTGGCCCACTTGCTTTCCAGATAAGGGAAAAAAAAGAGCAAACCCCACACACGGCATGTGGAAATTTCTACATTTCCTTCCACAGGGTAACAGATACATTTTAAAGACCTTTTTAAATGAAAAACTGAAGTTTACTTTTCTTTCTACAGTCTTAGCAAGCATATTTGACTATGTTATATTTGTAGATGAGAAAGGTCCACTTTCAGTAAGTAAATGAAGACAAAGACAATACTATGTATTAATAAATATCTCTAGACATTAACTCTGAATAATGCAACCTCATACAATGGACATCAAAGTACAAACTAATGATTTCAGCTCTAACAAAGCAGCAGTCTAAGCTATCATTAAATTTCAAGATTTTCAACTCTTTAGTGAATCAAGTTTTGATCAAAAGCTATGATAGATCACATCTTTACAATAGTCTTCCTTACTTAAGTAGATTAGTTCCTTTTCTTGAACTGCCTTAAATGGAGGTAAGGCTTTAAAAACATCACAAATGGACATCACCTTTTCTGTGACCTTTGTTATATTGACCCATCAAAAGGAACTAATCTGCGCTGTTCTGAAAACACACAAAGAAACAAATTATCCATGATAAAGAAAAGTTTTAGTTCTAAACAACAGATGGGATTAGGAGGATTATAGAAAAGGTTACTTCTTAATATGAGTCATTTTAAAAGGGTGAACTCATCAGCCACTGAAGTAGTTTCCATTCAACCTGTAAAATATATAAAGCAGGCACAAATGGAGAACGTATTAATTTACAACTGGAAAAGCTTTCTTAAAATTTGAGAACTGCTGAACTTCTATGCAAGCCTTAAATAACTTACAATGTGTATCTCATCATACATGTTAATTCTCTCTCTCTCTCTTTTTTCTCAAGGTTTTCTACTCTCTGTTTCAAAATCTCTGCAAGAGGTAGAAGATGAAGATATGCTGCTAACCACACTAAACCTAGGAAAAACTCTTCAAAATGGAGCTAGAGCTATGAACAGAGAAGCTATACCCTTGCTGAAGCATTACAAGACAGAAGGCAGCATTGTTTTCAATGAAAAGAATGATGGAAACATGAAGTTTTTGGTGAGTTCAGTTTTACGTTTTGGCTTAATTATAAAAAGGAAATTTATTTATACCCCTTTAGAAAACAAGCACAATAATTTAAAGCAACAACATGGTAAATATACAAAAATATCAGCTTAACATACCATAGTCAAGAATAAATTTTCAGCTGTAAGTATCTAGTGCCAGGATTTTGAATGTGTAACTTGGACAGTTGAATTAAATCTGATTTTTACAGAACTATATGTAGCCAAAGCTTGTGGGGGAAAAAAGCCTATATTTATGTTTGATTCAGCATGTCCCTATATGCAGCAACAGGTTTTTAACTTCACCAAACAGGAGGCTCATTATTTCATTATGTTCTTTACCATTAAACCTTTTCAGCCAAAGATGTAATGCAGGTCATTACTTTCAGCATATGATCTTGCAATATCAAGTAGTTGCACTGTGAAGTATAAAGTATAAAATTTGAACACAGCTGACTGTGAATAAAGATAAACCACTACTCTTGTTTTCCCTCAAAACAGGACACAGGTTCCAGACGTGATTTCTTAAATCATGTTAGGCCAATCAACTTAGGTAGGAAACAACTACTGAAGGGAGCCATGGCTTTTCCAGCTGATGCTGAAATTCGAAATACTGGGTCAATACAGGAAAGAGAAACCACAGATGAAGAAAATTCAGCTAAATTCCCTATAGGAAGAAGAGATTTTGACAGTAAATAAATTCTATTTTTACTCAAAAAATCATTTCATTCTGGTAAAGTATAGTGTAATGTCAATATAGCAATTTGATAAAATTTCATGCAGAAACTCCATGTCTGTTGTGATTCAGTGCACAGGGGAGGGAGCATTTTTAAATTAATGTTTTCAGAGGCCATAAGAACTCTCATTCTTTGAAGACTGAAACCTTCCCATTTTTTTTTCTCCTGTAGTCCTCAGGTGTATGCTGGGAAGAGTCTATCGACCTTGTTGGCAAGCATGAAAACTACTGATCTGCACCACCATCTTTGAAGATTACACATTTTATTTTGAATTTAATGTAATTTGATTACTGTGTTTTAGTGTGGCTATACATATGCATCCAAAAATAAATTCCCATCGCATTGCAGAGGGATACATAATTCATTACCAAAACCAGCAAATTGCAATTACTATCAATGTATTGCTATTATAAAATAAAAGACTTCAGCATAATCCAGACTTGTAATAAGCTGTCTAATATTGTACACAAGCTACTTGCAGTTATTTCAGTATGAAAGGAAACAATTCATGAATTTCACCCTTTTTCTCACAAAATTCTACAACTGTCGACATACCTTGAATGTCAAAACAAAAACCTATATTCGAAAAAACTCAGTTAATTTTGCCTGACCAGCAATCAGCTTATTCTTACTTGAAGTTTTGGTCTGTTTTCTTTTTCCACTAATTTTACTGTCCAATTTCTTCTGAGAGTTGTTTGAAGTCTTAAGTCTTTTAGCATTTTTTTGCAAAGATGGTTCACTTTCCTTGTCACAGATTACTTTGTCATTATTCAGATTCAGATCCATCTGTTCATTCTTGGAGTTTTTGTTCCTTGGCTGACAACTCAGCTTTCCCATTTCTGTACAACTTCTAGTTTGGTGAAGACTTTCAGAAATAGTTCCAAGCACTGGTACATCAAGATATGAATTTGTACCTTCTGTCATGTAAGAATATAAAAAAAATATGTGCAGAAATAAAAAGTTACCTGGAAATATACATCCTTTTTATACCAAGACTGCCATGTTATTTTTTTTAACTAAAACTAATGTTCCCTCAATAAAACAAAGCTATGCTGGCCACGGCAATTACATTTGCTATGTGTTCATAACCGTATTGCCAATTTGAAATGACATTGCTCAAAAACATGTAATAGCAACTAACTTAGGGAAGTGAATTCATAACTTTAGGATATTGGAAAAGAGGCTTTAAGGGCATAGAAATGTTATGTACGATATAATTTGTAGTGGATTAAAACAAATTTCTCGTCCCTTTTAATGGCAAAAGTACAAATTTATTTTGGCTTACTTTTGTTAAAAAAAGAACAAACCTTATGTAATATATGTAACACAACTTTTTTACCTCAAGATAGCATCAACACGCAATTTTGAAACATTCATATTTTCAAAGCATTAGCATTACAATTTTAATTCAAAGAGATTTAACTGATTATAGCATACACTTTTTTTCTTGAAAACGTAGTTATACTTGAGTTCTACTAAAGGTTTTTTGGATAACATTTGAAATATTAGCTCCCACATTTACTTAATCAATCCTACCACAACCTACCTGTCCCATATCTGGCTTTCAAATGTTGCTCTGGTGCAGGATGTTTGCAGGTTGGAATTTCAAGGGAACGATGGCGACTCATTTCACTCAAATCATTTTTATATGTACATGCAAACTGGGATTTGATTGAAGATTGCTTCATCTGCAAATAGCAACCTGCTGTTAGCTTTAAGTATTTACAAAAGCAAAAAAACAACACCTGCAAGATTAGCAAAATAAGATTTCCCATTCATTTCACATAAAATACCAGAAAACAGAGTATGCTTACATTAAAAAAACAAAACAAAACAAAAACCAAAACAAAAAACTACGTGTTCATTTACAAAGGTAAGGGCTTTCAAGAATACTCATTTATTATGCTATTAAAAGTCCTGGAATAATTAAAAAATCTTTTTTTCAGCTCTTTGAGAAAGTTACACTCTTAGAGCTTCAATTTAAGGCTTTTTGCCTTAAGTTAGCCCCTTCTTTTGACAAGCTGCAGACAACTATTTCAGTTTCATAGCTACTACAGTCAATTTTTATATTTCTATAGGTCATCATCTTTGAGATGTCAGTTCACAGGTGCCAAATATAGGATGAGTCTCTCCAATTAACCGATTTATACAGAGAGGAAAGCATAACACAGAAAATGAATTATAGATAATATAAACTAAGCTTCTCTATATTATATCTAAAAGTGGAACACAAAGTATGATTTCAGATTCCCATTTATTCACAAAGCCATTTCAACACTGAATGCCAGTGTCTAACTCCACGTTTGTCAGAACACACCTAAAATAAATAGCTTAAGTTGCCAGAAATTTACAGTACAGAAGAACCTGTATCTGATTCTGCTTGCTCATCTCCACCTCCTAGTCTCGGAAGCAGGGAACCTAGTCTCATAGCACAGATAAATCAAAATATTTGGCTCAAATATAAAAAAATTAAATAAATTTTTCAGTATATCCATATATATAATGGAATGAACGGTTACAGGTCAAATTTTCACAGTTTACACTTAAGTCACAGCTTCACATCAGCTTAGAATTTTAGGTCAAGCTTTGTACTTTCTGTACAACTGATCATAAATGCTACAGATTCCGGAAGTCAAAATCTGCCCCACTTCAGTTTGAAAGTGTACTGGATTATACAAATTATGTTGAAACATATAGCACAGAGTAGATAATTACAATAAATCCTGATTTTTAGCTAATACTTCCATTACAACAGCACAGGCAAATTCAAATAAATTTGAGCTGAACAGGTGCTACAATACAAACATGGGGAAAAAGAACAAGCAAGAAACATTGTTACAGAAGAAATGTTGCTATATAAATGGATAGCAGGAGTAATTTGTTAAATAAGAGGTTTATAGCCACTTTTCTGATTAAAAAGATTGCATTATGCAAGTCTACTTTTCTTCTTAGCCATAAGCATGATTAAAACTTACAGTTTGGATTTGACCCTCAGAGATATAATTTTCTTCTAACTCAGATTCTTGGATTTAGACAGAAGCAAAGAAAATAGTGTTCTCAGAAGCCTCCTTTCACAGAGGATTCCATCCCCAAAATTCAGTCACAATTTATTCCGCTTTCATCAGATACTGCTTTCACGCATATAAGCTAATAGACCCAAGTTTATCACCGAAATGCAACTTAATTATCTTTTCACGATACTGCTGTTGGCTGGGTGAACACACCTAGTCTATTTGCAAAAAATATTTTCATTCATTTACAGAAAGATAGTTGATCTTTCTAGTTTAATATGTCTCTACATATGTAGTTTTACTTTACACCTCGGTATTCCCTCCAAGAGTTAAAACATCCCAATTCTCCCCGTTGTCCATCACTCCCAACCTGCAATTTATCTGTGCCAGATAACAGATCGAGAAAGAAAAGCAGATTTAACAGCGTGAGCCAGCTAGCCCGACTCTCAACAAATCAAATATTTTTTCAATGTTAATCTGCTCTATACTTAAAACATTTAGCAAAAAATAAGACCATGTACATAGCTTATACATTTAAAAGGTTTTATACGCTTTAAGATCATGCCTCAGCTCACTGACTCTTTAAGTAGAATCATAGAATATCCTGAGTTGGAAGGAACTATCAAGGATCATCAAGTCCAACCCCTGGACCTGCACAGAACAGCCCCAACAATCACACCACGTGCCAGAGAGCATTGTCCAAACACTTCTTGAACTCTGTTGAGCTTGGTGCTGTGATCACTTTCCTGAGGAGTTGTTCCAGTGCCCAATCAGCGTCCAGGTAAAAAATTTTTTCCTAACATCCAATCCAAGCCCTCAAAAAGCTCCATGCCATTCCCTCAGGTCTTATTGCTGGTTGCCAGAGGGAAGAAATTGGTGTCTGCCCCTCCGCTTCCCCCTGTGAGGAAGATGTAGACTCTATATATCATTAACTTTATACTCTTTTCAGAAAGTGTTTTAAGGATAGGGCAGCTGTCTAGTCTAAATTTAATCAACATCCTATTGTACAATTACAATATTAAGACTACAAAGGACTTACATTTCCTTTAAGCTTAAGGTTACCGTAATATAAATGAAAAACATTTAACCATGTTTGATATGTTTCTGAAGAAATGTTGATATGTTTCTTTTAAAAATTCCTCAGTTTTCAGTTACTGTTCATCAAATGACACACATCAAAAATCATGCAACAATAACCTGCACAGATTTCTACTGCATATTCACATTCCAAGAGGCAAGTAAGCTACAATTTGTGCTGAGTTGATGAATCTATAATAAATATAACATGAAGAACACCAAACATGAGCAAGCAAGCCTGAGAGTTACCATTCTATAACTAACAATAAATCCAGTTATTTTTTTTTTATGAACATCAGGGTTTCTTTTTACCACTCCCATCTGACACTTCACTGATTCAGTTTGCAAGGGTAGAATATGTGGAGTCAAAGGACAGCAGTCAAGCTCAGTCACTGGAAAACTTGCAGCATAAACCCATGTGTTTCAACATCACTGAACCTTGAAATATGCCTCAAAACTTCACTCTGTATTGCATGACATACAATTTAGTCATTTGCAAACAGTACACAAAGCTCTACAAAATCAGACTGTTGATGCTAATGCTAATCTAGAGGGTATATTTAAAGGGTGTGAGACACAATCTGTTGAAGGAGTCAAACTTTTTAACTAGTGTAGAAATGTATATTAAGCAATAAAAAGAACTGTATTACACTGGGTGAGCTAGCAATAAGCAAATTTTAACAGCCTGAAGGCAGCACAAAGGGGCACAAGCCTAACACTGAATTAGGAAATAGAGCTTCACTGGAATGTTTTTAAGAAAGATCAGCCTGAAACTTGATTGAAGCACACATAATGAAGGCAGTCAGCAGCTTGAAAAAGCTCTTAGAATAAAAAAAAAAAGCTTCAAAAAAAACTCTTAGAAAAAGCTCTGAGAGTTCTTTTATATTAAATTCTCTGAAATCCACTGCTTTAAGAGCACCACCCCAACGATCCACAGCTCTGGGAGAGAAAAAATGTTGGGAGATCAGTTTGCTAATTGAGTAGTTGCACGCAAATGGCATGCAATGAACTCAAGATTTAGTATCCCCCCTCCTCTTTACAAGCAAGTGGGATGTTGCTGTTATCCCTATACAAAGAAAGAAATACTGCTGCATTTAAGAAAAAAAGGGTTCACTGTTATCACTGTTCAGCTGGAAGAAAGTATAATAGAATTTAAGGCAGCGTTTCAGCACAAGTAGGTCAATTAGGAGTCTTAATGAGTAGATAAAGCAGGACATTATTCCACCTTGATATCTGTATCGAAAGCAATTTTGCAGTTGTTTGAGATGCCCATATAAAACATTCATTTTTATATGAAATATTAATGGTGCATGCTC